GATCAAAGGGGCTGTTCCGGGTAAGCCCGGAAACCTAATCCGAATAACTCCAGCCAAGATCGTTGGCAAGAATATCCCCAAGAGTTAGTTCGGTTGGAACCCTCCCCCTCTCCCTCTCCCTCTCCCTCTCAGTTACTATTCGTTCGCTTTTTAAACTTGTATGACTCGATTTTTATGAAATTTTTGCAATATGAATGTGATTTCGAACTACGACGGTCTTATTGGAGAGGCTATAAACGAATATCCAATATGTATCTGTTAGAATTCGTATATGACTTGAACGCTTATGTTGGAACCATAAAAGAATTTACATTTATGTTTTAATCGCCAATGGGGGTATTTTAGTCATTTTGACATGATCGGGTGTAAATGACATCCATTTAAAAGTTGAACGACGTTTGGTTTTTCGAGTTTGGTGATGAGATGCCTAAAGTTATGGACCGGAAAGACGTTTGTTTGGTTACAAAAATCAACAATAGTGCATGCACATATACATGTCTTCTTACTATCGTCTTTTAACAAGTAATATAACAGCAAATTACAATTTATCATCTATATAAGTGAAATGTCAACTTCAAACGGTGAATTTGAGAATGGTTTATGAAGGATGATTTATAAAGAGTGAATTTAGTTTTTAAAAAGAAGTAAACATGTATCAGAATCCACACGAGTATTTCTAAAAGTCTTCTGGAGGACGTTTATTCGTAAGCCGAAACGCTTGTTCACATATGCAAAAACCGTGTTAGTAATTGATCAACTTAATAAATTGTAATTTGCTTTAGGCAAACTGTAATATAATTCTGATAAACACAATCAAATAGAAGATAAATCTCTTATCTTAAATATAAATAATCTAAAATATAATTAGGATAATCATTAACAAAATTTTTATTATAAAAAATGTTACATTGATAAATCTAAAATAAATTATTTTGTTATCAAAGCTAAATTTAAATTATAAAAAACAAAATTGAACTAAAAAGATTATTAAAAAAATAAGAATTTTTAAATTGTTATTTTGAATACTAATATGGATATAAACTTAAATGTGATCTTTAAATTTATATTTTATTTAAATATAAAAACATTATTGTTTTCTTAAAATCATACAAAATCGTATTATAAAATCGACATAAACAAACAATAAGACGAAACATTAAAATCAAGATGTATTTAACTGCATTTGATACGAGAATTGATCCGGTGCATCTTATCCTAATCTGCATCCAAACTCCAAAAATAGAGATTTTGTTTACGCTTTTCGTCTTAACTGTTTCTCTACAGGAACCCAACCCCTGTATAACTTTGGGGGGTGGTATAGATTTTATTACACTGTAGGGACCCAAGTGAAAATATTTTATAATGAAAAAATGGGGTACAAAAATCGTTTCGTCAAAGTTCCTAATTTGCATCATATGAATGGCGGAGAGGTCCTGAGAATCGATTAACGATCTCATCGTCTGCCTAGCACTCACCGGAAAATCGTATCCTAATCTTCCAAGATCCACCTACCTCCGCCTATCACCACCGCGATCTCACCACCGAAGTTTCTCCCACTTCCCCTTATCCTCTATCTTTCTTCTATAATCATCTTCAGGTAATTATTCAATCCAGATCTCCTTCCGGTCAATCTGGTAAGGCATGTTATCTGTTCCTCTAGGGTTTAGATTGAGATTATTTTATCTTTTGATTTACATGTTTTTTTTATAACTCAGATTGTTAGGCAATTTGTTTAATTTCGCAGTCTCCCGTAGGCAGAGAGAGTTCATCGGTAGGTGGTTTGAGTTCTAGAATTATATTAGGTTATTGCGCTGGAATATGAACGAATTCTTAATCAGTGGCCCAGTGCTGATGTACAACCTAGTAGCCTTTTGCTTCAGATTTAAAGTTCAATAATCTTGTTCATCTAACATACTGCTCCCTTAGGTGTAATTTTGTAGTTACCAAGTGAATAACATAAAGTTCTTGCATTTTCCAATGCTCTCATTTATGTACACGTGTATATTCCTATTGATGTTGTTTTCTTGCTAACCATCTTTTTTCTGATGGTGTTATTTGCATTAGAGACCTTTCAACCAAGCTTTTATTCAACACACAGACATATCTCCATGCAAAAACGCCCATATATGCCCACTCGTTCACGTATATAGATTGTTCTATGTATTCAGATAGAGAAATAAGCTTGAGAAGTTTGTGTATCTTTTGAGTGCTTGGTTCACATACTTGTGTTCATCTTGCTCTACTTGGGAGTCTAATATATCTTTATGAGCACCAGTGCCTGTCCTGTTTTCCTAATATATATTATATGTATACTCATGTACATACACACGTACACATTCATCATTCTATTAGCATTTGGCTTCTGAACATGGTGTCTTGTATATCCTGGTACCAAGTGGGAAATCAGCTTTGAGACTATTTTGATAATATATGTTATTATAGGTACACTCAGCAGTTCACACTTATTGTCTCTTTAAAGAGAGATATGAAGATGAGGGTAGCAGCTTTTGTAGCAGTCTTGCTTGTGGTATCTGAACTGCCACTCGGCTTTACCTTCTCATCTACAGCCCCTGCATTTTTGTGGACAAATACCCAAGACGAGTATGTGTACTTTTCTTAGGAAGCATTGCATAACTTTCAATCTTTTATGTCTTGTTGGAAGTTAAAATAACATTTCGTTTATACATCATACTATTTTTGCTCGTCATCTTCGGTCAAGTTTTTTGATGTTACGCACTACATGTGTTTGGTATAACAGATGAGGATCTCTTTCTAGTTTATGTTTTTGCCTCGATGAATAAAAGAGTTCGTCAAGACATAATATGGGATTAACTTGATAGTCGTATAAACCTTGATGTAGGCAGTCATTCAACGGTTATGCTGTTCTTTGAAGTAATAATACCTATCACTGTCATTAGCTAGTCTTTCTTTATCTCCTTAAGCATATCCTTTATGTTCTGTTACTGCCTTCCTTTTTTTATCTTTTGTTATGGGTTTATGCCTCTATTTTGATCTTTTACTGGTATGGAAACCACAGATTGACTACCAACAAAGTGAAGGAAGCTGTAAGTTACCAAACCCTTTCTCCAAAGGATCTGGCCAAATCTGTCATGCTAGAAGGTGGCTGGTCAAACTTACTGGTAATCTTTATTTGATTATGTGGAGATTATTGCTTATCTAGTTGGATTTTGTTTATTGTTATATATTCCATATCTTTACGGAAGAGAGAGAATGAGGCACCGACTATTTGTTTTAATGCAACATTTCTGCTTTTTCAGTGCCCCAGTCAGAAACCTGAAGATTCCGTCGATCTTGCAATTGTTTTTGTTGGGAGAGAGGTAAGAATCTACAATAAAGAAGAAAGAAGATTACAGGAATTCGGAGAGTGTTTATTGCAATTCTATCCTTTAAATTCCTTTTACTGTCCTTTACCAGATTGTAATCCAGATTTTCAATGAAAAATACTCATTTGCTTTCAACGCAATCTGATTGATTTGCAAGTTACAAATGGAGACATTGAAAATCAACATCTACAACTATATAAGTTTCTGATATTTTTGAGATCCTTCTGTAATTAATAGAATTCAGTACTTCCGTAATTAATACTCATTCTTTTAATCAGTCTCTGGATATTTCTGGACGTAAACGTGGAGATCAAGGACTTCTAGACTTGCTCAAGGTAACTGCACTGAAGCTAGTCCCTCAAATAGGGATCATTTGGTTCAAGTTTAAAAGTTTTACCAGAGCGTCCACATTCTGACTTTTATATCCACACTCCATCCTTAATGAGCAGGTTTCGTTCACAAAGTCGACATTCTCTTTAGCATACCCTTATGTAGCTGCATCTGAAGAGAATGAAGCTCTGCAAAATTCATTAGTTTCTGAGTTTGCAGAAACTTGTGGACAAGATGCAGTACTAAGCAAGGTCGGAATACTGGAGTCATGTGCTTCTGAGGGTGGAAACTTTGAGAAACTTACTGACATCAACTCAGTCCATGTAATAGTTGCTGGAAGCTTTAATCAGATACTTCCATATGGTGTTTGGTATGTTCTAATAGATCTCCATGTACAATGACAGGAGTATGTAGTTTCAAGTATGGAGAAGAAATCCAACGGGCAAACACCACTGGTTGTCTTTTGCAATGGCGGAGCTGACTCACTGAAAGGAAGTGGTTCTGATGGTACGTAATGATGGTAGTCTTTTTGGTTGTTATTGTTATTTGGGCTTGATCTTTTACCTAGCTTAAATTTTGAATGGTTCTGTTTACTGGTTTTCTTGTGTAAATTTGGTAAAAGCCCATTTGTTAAACATGCAGGCAAAGTTTTTTCTGAGCTTATCAGTTCTGTTGAGCAGACAGGAGCAAAGTATTCGGTTTTATATGTCTCCGACCCTGTGAATGTCATCCGTTATCCTTCTTACCGTCAGCTAGACAGGTTCCTTGCACAAAAATCTGGAAATGCATCAGACAACTCCACTTCGTGTGATGGAGTTTGCCAAATTAAATCATCATTGTTGGAGGGACTTTTTGTGGTAAGTTGACCCTCTTTCTTCATCTTATAGACTGAGAGGTCTCTGATATATTGTCTATTGACTTTTTGACAATTTTGCATTTCTGATTAATGCAAATTGTTGCATCCTCCATTATGAAATGGGCCAGATTGGTGTTCTAGTAAGTATCAAGCAGAGTTAGGCAGTCAAGTGACCATCTAGAGCTTAATGCCATAACTGTTTAAGCGGGGATTAAGTGGATGGTTAAGCGGAAGCATAAGCAGTTCATATAAATATAAGCCAAAGTAGCCCAGTATATTCCACTGGAAAAAAGGGGGAGGGGGTGCATGCATACATGTCCTCTATCCAGAGAGCAAAGCAGCCGTTTCCTTGAAGACCTCCGGCTTGCAAAAAGCATCTGCGAAAAAGAAAGCTCGCATAAAAAATCTGAACTAAATGAAAAGAGGAGACAAAATGGAAAAAGAAAAAATATTAAGGCCAGAGACGAAAAAGAAAAGAAGACTACCATATAATTAAAAGTAAGTACAAAGGAACATAGTGGATGTAAGACAACATGATGTCCCCCAGTCTATGTTGGACTCTGGTAGCCTATCTTTCGGCTTACTAGTCTACCCCCACCCTCTACCTCTCGAGCTCCCTTCCTCCCGTTTAGGGTCTGTTTAGCAGCTTAATGAGCTTAATAGGACTCGCAGCTTATTCGGTCAGCTATACATGACGTTTTAGTAGTGGCTTAATGATATAGGAAGTGGTTTATTCAGTAAGCTTTTAGGGGGGAGCTTTATGTAGAAAACCAAGTTTTTTCCAATTAAAAAACTTGTTCCTTCCATCTATGAGAAAACCCTCCCAAACAAAAACCTTGTCAGTCTTTACAGATAGATTAATCCATACAAACATCTTTAATGGAAAACCAACCAAACAGCCCCTTAGACTAGCGGTTTGTTATGATAATTCCATGAACCCAAATGGGTTGAGAGGTAAAAGAACAGAGTAAAATGATTTTGAGCCACTTTGCTACTAAGATCATTTATTTGGTTACTATACCTCATGTGTTTCAATTACTTTATGGTTATTATTAGGATATAGGGAGAAGTATTGGCTTATGAAATGTGTTTGTGATGGATCAGGGACTTGTTTTGCTGATAATTTTGATATCGGGGCTTTGCTGTATGGCTGGTATCGACACCCCAACAAGATTTGAAGCTCCTCAAGAATCTTAAGCAAGCGAAATTCCAACTTGTGGCGCTGGTATTGTCATTGCTTCACTGGTAGTATTAAATTAGTCGAGATTCTTGAATGAGCTGTTCTATTTATCGTGTACGCTTGTCAATAAGGGTTTTGTCTTCAACATTTCTTCAAACATTTTGTGTGATGTTTTTGTAACGGCATAAAATCAACCTCTGCAAGTTCAGTGCAAGATACCAAACTGGAGTTCATTGTTTTTATCTATCTATAGTCCAAAAAAATCATAAAATCAAAGAGTAAACTACGTTTTTGTCACTGTGGTTTGTCAAGTATTGCTACTTTTGCCTCTCTGTTTTTGCAATTAAGGTTTTCGTCACTGTCGTTTGTGATTTGTTGCTATTTTTGTCTATCTACTAACTCCGATAAAAAGAACCCTTAACGGTTAATTTGGTCATTTACTAATGTATGATTACTTGAAATGGTATTTCTAGTTCGTTTTTACAGCCATGTACTAAATAAGTTCCATGACCATCTTTGGCGTGTAGTTCAGTTGGCAAAAGGGTAGCGTGACTTTGCTCAAGTACAAAACAAGTCATGGGATAGTTTCAGCTGTCGAGTGAGCTAAAAAATATCCCCTTAGATTGGTGTGTCGAACTAATTGGAGTTATCCGTAATCGACTTTTTGAATCTCATTTATGGCTTTATTTTAAAATGAGAAAAGGATACAGTTTGCCTCTTCCTCGGAGAAAAACGATCAAACAATTCTCAATCATGATCCTTGCAGATCGGATCATCCCTATAATATACAAAGAAAAACTTTAGATATTTGAGATATTTCTCTTTAAATAAGATCTGAATTCCAGCGACAGTTTCATTAGATATCTTACGATTCTTTGTTTCTTGACTTTTACCCACCTCTTGATTGTTATGCCTCAATTGAATCTATTTATGTCTAATTAGATGTATTTAGTTATTACTTATATTTTTAAATGAAGATAAGTATCATTATTAAATTCGACTTTGAAAATACTAAAAGAATATTGGCAACATAGCAAAAGATTATTAGCACAGTGATACCTGGATCATCCATAGAATTCAACCTTCCAAAATAGGGTTCAAACTCATCAAATGTAAAAATTATACATAAATATTCACCATATATTAAAATATAATATTTAAAAAGAAAAACATTGACAACATATAGAGAGAGAGGGGTTGGTTATTATATAACCTCTTACATTTGTACAACCAATACAACTCAATCTTAACCATCCATTTAATTTGATGAATATGTAATTTTATAGAAGTTTTGGTTGTTTCCTAATATAAAGTTTTGATCATAATTAATAAATTTTATTTATCTTTCATAAATATTTAAATCACAATAAATGAACTCTCATTATTTCATAAATATTTCAATTTATTAGGTTGCATTGCTTGTACAAATGCGATGAGTTACATTTGAAACAAGCTCTATACACACACACACACACACTATATTATAAAACATTTGACAAAAGCTCTTAAAAACCACTTTTCATGCGTAAAGTACTATTTATTAATGCATATTACTTAACACTCAAGATTACAAGTAGATTGCGCGTAGGTACAACATATTAAAGCTCCATATTTGAATTTGTGTAACTAACTGCAGATAAACATAATCAAATACAGGATAAACATCTTATTTTGAATATAAAAATTTTAAAATATAATTAGGATAATCATTGAGTTCTAACAGAATACTTAATTATTATYTTTATAAAATGTTATATTATTAAACCAAAAATAAATTATTTCATTATTAAACTTAAATTAAATTATAATAAAAAAAAATAAGTTAAGAAAATTACATAAAAATGAGAACTTTTAAATAGTTGATTTGATGTTAACATTGATATATTTTTTTTCAAATTTTTATGATATCTTCAAATTTATATTTTATTTAAAAACAAAATCATTATTGTTTTCTTAAAAAACACATAAAATCGTATTATAACATCGACAAAGACAAAATAATAAAATAGAACATTAAAATCGAGATGTGTCTCACTACATTGTACAAGTACTCTTCTAATATATGTATATATATATATATACATCAAATATTCCACAAATAAATTTGTAATAATTTTAAGTTCAGAAAGTCGCACAATTTCAAATATTGTTGTGTATATATTTGATAAAAGATTCTTAAAATTAAATTATTAAGCATTAATATTTAAGTGTCGTTCATTAATATCTCAGAATTCAAAGTTACAGTTTATTATAGCTTACATACAATTTCTTAACACTAATTAATAGCCAATTGATAAACCCATAGAGTTATCTCATTTTTTAAATTTAAATTATCTTAAATATAATTAATATTTTTAATTAAATAAATTATCTATACTATATTATAAAGCATTTGACAAAAACTCTTAAAAACCATTTTTTTGCATGAAGTATTACTGTTTATTGATGCATATTACTTAAAATTCAAAATTACAAGTAAATTATGCGTAAGGACAACTTATTAAAGCTTTATGTTTGAATTCGTGTAACTAACTGCAGATAAACATAATCTTAATGGATAAACATCTCAATTTTTAATTATAAAATATCTAAAATATAATTAGGATAATCATTGAGTTCTAACAGAATACTTAATTATTATCTTAAATAAATTATTCTATTAAACCAAAAATAAATTAGTTCGTTTTTAAAATTCAATTAGATCATAATAACAAATTGAATTAAAGAAATTACGCAAAAAAAAAAAAAATTAAATAATTAATTTGATATTAATATCGCTTATTTTTATCAAAATTTTATAATATCCAAATTTATATTTCTTTCAAAAATAAAAACATTTTCTTTTTCTCAAAACCATATAAAATCGCATTATAACATTGATAGACCCAAAATATAAAACAAAACATTAAAATCAAGATTTATCTCGCTGCATTGTACGAATACTCTTCTAGTATTAAAAAATATTTTTTATTCTTTTTAATTTGATACATGTATTGATTTTTTTTTCAGTTCTTGTAACCGGGTTCTGAAAATTTCAATCTGAGGCATTTTAAATGCAAGTATATTTATATTAATATTTTTACTGTACTATAAATTATTTACTACATGCTCTTATATTATTTTAAAATCAAGTTGAGAAGTTTTTACTACAATACAAGTACAATATTTGGAATCAGTACTCTTGGATACACATTTATTAAAAAAATTATAAAAATATGTTGTTATTTTATATATTTAATCCTATTTGGAAAAAATTAATCATATATCTAAAATACATTAAAATAAACAAAATACATATAAAAAAACCTATTTATGAATAAAAAAGAATATTTTTTTATCATGTAATAATAATAATGATTTAGATGTATTTTTTTAATAAAACATTTGTTGAAAAAATATAAAAATTTAATAAAAGTTTTATGCAAAGTTAAAGATAGATATGATGAATCATTAAACCTAAAAGAGGCTTGATTACAACACATTGAGGAAGAAACTTCATCATCATCACAATCACAATTCAAAAATACCAAAAACCTAAATAAGATTTCTTACTACATGCCCTGCTAATGTCTTCTTTCCCATTTCCCTTCGCGTCTTCCGTCTCGTTCTCTCCGCTCCACCATCTGCCTTGACTTGTTCCCTCTCGACACATGCCGTTGACCTGACCCGAAATTACCAGATTGCCCCTCCAGTGCCATCACTAGATCTGCTTCACCAACACTCCCTGTATCCCCAGAGTCCCTGCTACCATCAAAGTTTTCTTCATAACTACTACCACCTTCATCTGGGCGGTCACGGGATTGTAGAAGAGTTGGAGGTTGGCCTGAAAATTGTCGTGGCCCCGTCAGGACAATGGTTGGTGTGGCAGACACAGAAGAATTAGGGTTTGTGAAGTCGGGCGGCAAACCACCACCACTTGTTCTCAAGTTGCCTTCATTCGTTGATCTTCCATTATCCCTTTCCCGATATCTCTCTCGCGGCCGACTGCAGACAGATAAAATGACCAAATAAAGAACACAACATAGTGAGTTTGCAGATAAAATGACCAAAAACTAATTGTTCGACCGTTGAAAGTACAAGTGCTCCTAAATCAAGTGACTTTCTTCAAAAGCCATGGAATTCATACTTCACGGATATTGAATCTAAAAATGCTAACAATAAAGAAATGCATGAATGAGAAGGTTATTCCAAACGAATTTGATCAGACACGAAAGCATACCTACTATGAGTAGAGGAAAATTCCCTTCTTGAGGTTGGTCGAAGCCCTGACTCTGCCTGCTCTAGTTCTCGTTGGAGTTCTCTCTGCAAAAAAATCAAATAGCCTCAATAACAAGGGTTAAAAGTATGAAAGAAAGAAACAATAATACTTTTTTTTTAATTATAGTGAGAAAACCGTATTCGAAGCACTATAGTATTTTTCACATCCAGCTTACACGATCTATGGTCATGTTTAGCATATTTTTTTATTTGTGTAAAAGATAACATAATTACATAATTCAAGGTATTCAACTCGAACTCATCTAATCTTACTTGCGTTTTCTTTTCTTTCTCCATATCAAGATTATGCTGAAGCTCCCTAGTTTTTGCACGTTCATTTGCCAACAATTTTTGTCTCTCCATCTCCTTTTCCATTTCGTCAGCCCTTTCTCTGTCATAAGGAGAGGTGCATTTTAAAGACTATTTTATATTAAAGAAGTTTCATAATTGAGAGCACAATGAACCACAGAAGAAGAGGTGCAACCTATCAAGTTCCTGAAGGAGCTTGGCTTCATGCAGAGCTGTCTCCTCTAAGTACTTCTGACGTGCACGTCTTATGAGCAACTTCTTCTGTCTGCGTGCTGCAATTTCTTCTTTAAGCTTGGCCTTTTCGCTATTCATGGAAAATCAAAGTAATCATTTCCAACATACTAGGACTAAAAAAAAGAAACTGAAAAGAAAAAAATGCCAGTAAAATACTGAACCTTGATAAATGCAAATGCATATCAACATTTTGGAACAAAAAAAATCCTGATGACAATCCCAGAAAGTTGCAAGTCGAATACAAACCCACAAATAAACAAAATAAAACAAATACGTTTAATCTACATTTCTACCAAAAAAGAAAATTTTATGTACTTAATGATGAATAGGATAAACTTAAAAGATGCCATCTGCAAAGCATGAAGTATCATAGTAACTTCACCCCACCCTTCCAATGGGAAATTCTGAAACATTCAATAAAAACTAGTCCTCTATTCATTCTCACTTATATTTCTATAATTTTATGTAGATGGCCCAAGTTCCATAGGAACAAATAAAGACCTAATGGGGCAATCAAGATATAGTTTTAGTAAGATGGTACATACAGAGACTGAATGCCATCTTTAATTTCTTGAAGACGTTTATCTTCCTTCTCATAACCTGGATCGAACAAGATGGCATGAAAAATATTGTTGAATGGAGATCATTAAGTTCAGAATGTCAGGATATATTTGGATTAACAGATTCTGATGTAAGAGAAGTTACTGGCTAGAAAAGGAAGCTTCCTCCAGTCTAAGAAATCATCAGATGACTCTGGAACAGACTGCTCTTTCTGTATTAGATCCATTTCAATTTCAGCCTCCTCAATTTCCTGTGACACATCAAGACCTGTTAGTTATTTAAGAAATCAAATATTAATCTTATAAACCCAGAACTTACCGTAAGTTTTTCCTCAGTTTTCTTGGAGAAAAAATCAAAGTACGATTGTACAGAAGTCAAATTTGCAAGGACCTGTCACATACATTAAATATCTGATTATAGATAAAAACACAGTTATTATTTGTATGAGATCTAGTTGCGAAGAATACAAAATGAACGCATCTGAAAGAGAAAACTAATTCATCTGCTCTATTTAAGTTCCAAATCATTATTTACCTGAAGAAGTGACTCACGCGTACTTCCAAAATCCGGGTCTCCTTGTTTTGAAAAACTTGACGTGAGAACTCCCTTGAGAATCTTGGCATGCAAAACTTACATGTTAGACTAAGGCAATGACATCAAATGCACTTTGTTGGTTAACGGATGATAACAAATCGGTAAAACATCTGAGACTTGTAAATACTTACCCCTTTGGCTTCATCCCCTTCTGTTTTAAGCCTACATAGAGCTTGGCAAGCACTCTGAACAGAATCTTCATGCTTTCCTATATAATAACAGTACAAACATCAGCAATAAAAATCAATTGAAACAATACAATAGGTGCAAAAATTGAACAGATTTTCTAAACGACAACATTCCTTTTCTATTTAATCTTCTTCCCAATTAAGCAAATAAAAATATACCAGCTTCCGATAGACCCAAAGTTTCAATATTTGTCCAAATACTTTGAGGAATCAGATAAACATCTTCAACAGGAGAGTACAGACAGATGCTGGCAATAAGAGCTAACGAAAGTAGCATAGATGGGCCTTCACATGTCTGGCGACCGAGGTTGATTAAACAAGGGAGAAAACTATCAGCTGCACCAAGAATAGATTGTAGTTGTCGCCTCTCAGCAAATGGAACACAGTTAACTAGAAGTGCCATCGAACGCGTCCTCAAAAGTGGTGACGTGTCACTTGAAGCTAGCACAACAATTTGATCCCATGTATTTGAAACAAGAGATGATAAAATCGACTCATCACATGAACTATCAAGTTCAATTATAGCTGACTTAATGTAAGATGCTGAAGACAGTAACGTTGCTTCACTGTCTGCATCTTGGCCGACCAGCTTCCCCAAGTGCTTCAGAGCAATAAAACGCTGTTCTGGTTCAGCATGACCCATCATTGAACTTAGCAGATCAACTAAAGGAACTTCACTCTCATTAAGGCTCTGAATGCCTCCATCAAATAACGATGACAACCACTTGTCTGTCTGCAACCGCCAAGAAACTTTTGGTGCAGTGCATGAAAATATCTTCATTGCTGAACAAAGAGGAATGATTACTCTATCCAAACCAAAAAAACGAGGTGCCTCAAGTATGCAGTCCAGAATCGCAGAGGCAACCTCCCAGCAACCGTTTTCTTGTAACACGAGAACTATTCCAGCAAGTTGTTCAAGACTGGTCTTCCAATGAAAGTGATCAACCAAGCTATGTGAAACCAGACCCTCCTTCTCAACCTCTGCAAAAGTTGAATCTTTTTCTAACACTGATGATAAGCATCGTGAGTACACAAAACATTGGGCTGACATGATGGCAAGTTTCTTAGCTGGTTGATAATGAAGTTTCCAGCAAAGCTCGATAGTCGGATTAAGCTTGGAAACAAGTCCTTCCAGGTCTTTGGAGAATTCTGCCATTTCTTCAACAGACAACTGATGACCCACTCGATCCAAGACCAAAGTATTTTCAATGTCGCTTTGCAAGTTATCACACCCCTTGAAAGCATCTACAAGGAACTTTGTATGTGATTCAGAGTTATTATCACATGATCCACCATTCACATTCGAATTGAGAGGTATTTTGATAGGAATAACACCCAATACTTGTAGTTTCTCAACTAGCAAAGTTTTGCAGCTTTCTATTAGCGTCCGAAATGCACAAAGGTAGTCATAGAAGGATGTCGTTGGCTCAAAGGTAGCAAAATCAGCCCAAAATACAAGCGACTGTAATATCTCACGTTTCCTTTGTAATGACAAATCAAGAAAAACCGAAGCCAAAACAAGAATTGTTGGAGCCCTGCTATATCCTTGTTCAGCAGGACTAACTTGATTCTCAGAATGGTTTCTTATGTTGCTAAAAAGCTCATCAAAGCACACAGACTCAAAATCAAGGCATGAATCACCAACCAATTGATTTTCCTCGCTAGATGCCTTCCTCAAAGAATAGGAGATGATTGGCTTTAACAAACCCAAAACAGAATCAAGAAATGCCACATCACAGTATGAGGTTTTACACAAGGATTGGAGCACTTGTACAACTCTAGGTATTTCAGGCACCATCGCTTCCATGTGCTCAGCTACAATGGCTTCAAGTACATATAAGATGATAGCTTTTGCATTCTTTGCAAGGAACCCCTTAAACAAGGGAGATCTTTTAGAAGACGGAACTTGGTCATCCTCTTTCTGAAGTAAGGGCCATGAACACAAGTCAGAAAACCAGCACAATAGATCTGGCACAACACTAGAAGGTAGAACTCTCAGTTGCAGTCCAACAGCCTCCAATATAGTCTCCCCAAAGGCTTTAAATTGTCTCTTCAAATTGGGAAAAAACTGGCTAATTTCAGGGTAGATTACACGAAAAGAATGATCTCCATGTTGACTAGCGAGTTGCCCTCTAACAGAAATTATATCTTGTTTGAATCCTACTCCATGAATCTTGTTCTCAGCTTTCTGCTCAACAATGTCATCAACTACAGCAAGTTCATCAATGAAAATAGATAACAAAGTTGTTAACTGAGACAAATCAGAAGCAAGAATGAGTCTTTCCTTCTGATACAATTTCGCATTACGAGATACTGCCATCCATCCAACAAATCGAACCAGAGGAGATGCAGAAGAAGAGAAGGAAGATATTTTCTTCACCCAAGCTGAAGAAGGAACCATATTACTGAATCGAGCCCCATTGTTCATATTAACTAAGATATTAGAACCTTCTTCACCTCCGGTTGAAGCTACCACCAACCTTTGAAGAAGCATCCAGTGACGTTCTACCTCGTGTACCTTAATCAAATCCAATTGCAAAGTCCCTTCCTTAGATTGATGACAATACGATACAAGCAGCTCATTCAAATGTTCAGCAGATTCTATTATGATATCAATTATACGTTCAGGAGGACAATAAAGTTTAGTTGCTGAATGCAACAGAAACACCAAACTCTGCAGAAGAATCTCACGCATTGAGTGCTGCTCCTTCAGCAAAGAATTTATCAGAAATTTGCATAACAAGGCTTGATTTTGTCGAACCAAGGTCATGGCATCCATAGATGATGTATCTGGCACAGAAAATTGTATAACATCGTCATTTTCGTCAGGAACTGGGGAAGAATTATCACTGTTAGGCACCATTTTCTGATACTTGTGATCTAATTCAGCAGCCTCAAGAAGAACTTCAAGAACTATTTTGTCCCTCTTCTTCTCAAGACGAGCTATAGTTTCCAAAGTACTGTCACTCTTTTCCAAAATTCTTCTGATTTCTGCAAAGCCATATTTATCATTGGTCTTGCCAATTTTTGTCTCCAGGGCTAGCTTAGGATAGTCTCTGAAAGACATCATAAAGAAGGGATTAACATAGCACTCTGCAGCCAACAACAGAGCATCTATGGCAGCATTATGACCCTCAGGGGTAATATCACAATGTGAATGTAAATCGAAAGCCACACGCCTAAACTCAGAGGCCCACAACTCACAATCTCCATAATTCATAAGCTGTAGACACTCTGTATGCAACTCAGAGTACTCCATAGCACCAAAGCCTTCACCTTTGTAGTTGCTGGGCGCTTTTCTCTCGACTAAATGTTTCTCTTCTGCATTGGCATTGCAATGGCTCAGATCTGAGTTTGTTTGATCAGGAACCCCACAAACATATGTAAGCATCATGTCCCTGACTTCAGGTGGAGCAAAAAGAACACTGACATCATCAAAAATTTCTAGCTTAGCCATAGTATCTGAAGTGTCTATCCTTCCATCAGCATCGTCTTGGTCAATAATCTTTGAAGCAGAAGCTCCATTACAGGGAGCAGAAGAGAGAGGGGAAACATCTAGCGGTTGAGGATCCATGGCCTCAGAAGTAGGAAATTTGCCAAGGTCAATATTAGGTGGCAATTGCATGTGAGGCTCCAAAATTGAGAGAAGTACACTGCAAAACAAATACAATAATGACAATAATGCATTGCAGCACTGAGATGCTTTGCTGATTATTAGGGAATTTATCTTGCCCAATAGTTTTGAGAGAGTGTAATGTTCACTACATCTATAAATTCTAAATTGTACATAGGCTTTGAATTTTTTTATTCAAAATTCAAGTTAAGCTTTTTTAGCAAGTCTACAGTATTTACAAGGGTATCATCACATGAATATGATTTTTTCTTTGACTTCTTTGGCTGAAAACCTGGTATATTTAACAAAAGGATCCATTTCTGCTTGACCTTGGGAATACATAACTCTTGGCATGCACAAATCATGCTCAAGAAAGTATAGTGCAATTCACGAGAAGTGAATCAATGCATAATTTTGCAAAAAAGGAATTGGAAAGAATAAAACACAAGGTAACTTGAACTGCCAAAAACACTGATAATAAAATAAATAAAAAGACGACCCTTACATAGGAGCAACTGAACCACGCCTCCATTCAGATTCCAAGGACGGAAGAATGCCAGATTTTGTTACTGCAGTTCGGATCACATTTAATGCAACAGTGCAATTCTGTTCCTGACTATCAAGAAAGATCGGAGATACGTTTCCGAAGGCTATCATGCTCTTTAAGGGGGTTAAAGCCGGATCAAGAAAAGGCTCCAGAATTTCCAGAAGAAAAAGAATCTGGTGCTTTACATCCTGAAAACAAACATTGAAGAGGTTCGCAGACGTCCATTTGTATATAATTGAAGGTAAGTTGCAAATGTAAATTAAGATCATACACCAAGTCCCCATGGAGGCAGTTCAATAGAATTATTTGCATATTCATGAAGCAAGCTACAATTAGAGGACAGCGAATAGAACAAAATATAAGCTATACCTTATATTTTGCCATGACATCATCCATATGCCCAGATAATGCCAAAACAATGTACTTGAGAGCAGCACGCGCATCGGCTATTGCATGACGAGCACCCTAACAAACAATCAGAAAGCAAAAACGCATTTATCCACCCTAGGAAGAAAAGGAAAAGACAGCCTGCAGCTGCTGGTGTTTTCATGATAGCATATACACTACAATGATATTTTAAAGTTATATGTCAGTCTGTTTGCTAACTCCCACATGGATGCTTATATGTTTATTCTACCACTAGAATAGTACCATGCCATATTTATTACTCTAAGGTCCCTTTTCCCACCTGGACATAACCTATCACACAATTTTTAGTATAGTATCCAGCGGACTTAAATCCCCATATAGTTTGTGTGATGGCAAATTAAACTTGCATATACTCCACATTTGAAACGTGTTTCAATCTAAGGCCCTAAAAAACCATCAAGATAGCAATTAAACCAAGATAAAGAAATAGATCAAACCGAGCATCGCCACCCTTATCTTACAAGGAAAGGGAAAAAATGGAACTTATAAAAACAATTATTATTAGTTAGGCATTTTAAAAGCACTTCAACAAGCCACATTACCACACAGGACTAATGGGACCTGCAGGCAACAAAAAAACCTAATTAGATTCATCCCTCCTCTATTAACTACAAAGAATAGAACCTATTTTACATTGAGGGTGCAACAAGGCACACCTAGACTTCATGCTGAGTTGATGATGTATCATGGTATCCGATCTTTGTATCAAATTTCACAAAATCATGTGCAAGTGCTCAGCTAGGATTACTCTCCTTTGCATATGGTGCATTGCCACTGATCCGTTTGTGAACACAGATTAGCAGGCATCACAAGCAGGGGCATACTAGATATGATTATCTTTTATCAGCCTCCATCCCTTAACAGCACAAGCTTTCTGATACAACATTTCATGTATTTGTGTCCCATACTATAAAGATAAATGAGAGATAATACAGCCCAGGCAGAGATAGTATTGCTTTAATTCTGATATAGAAGTTTCTATAAGAGGGAGAATACCCTACCTTTAAGGGTCGATTGAGATATACATCATTCACATCAATAAATTGGATACAACAAACAAAAGATGTAGAAACCAATCCCTGCTCTAATTTGGGTACTAGCATCACTTTGATACAATCTTAGAGTATTATAAGATACAAGGTGTCAAGATTATGCGATCATCTTACTACTTATATGCAAGCATTTTAAGGTTCATAAATTGTAACTTACATGAAGTACACCTAGAAGGTCCTCGACAAGCTCCACAGCTAAGTCCACCTGCAATCTTTTAGCAAATAATGTGAAAAGTTTTATAGTTGAAATAAATGTAAAATAAATATATTATGAGCTAACATATTGTCCACTAAATATTTTTAACTTGTACGACCTTCGCAATTACTTGACCCATCCATGGTCCCAGCACACCAGTACAGAGATCAATCAGAACACATGCAGCCTTGGCCTGCACCATAGGTTAAGATAATAGCAATTAGCTTTAAATGAACTAAAAACCATAGCCTTAAAAATGTCAATAGCATGTACACTAGTAGAGGCTTTATGTGCCATCAATGCTTTGTCTCATCTCCATAATCCAGACACAGAATAGTTTAAGTGCTCTGTCTGCAAGTGTTGTAGAAAAATACACCACATTTGGAGGATTGAGATTCAAGGAGTCGGAACTTTAAAATAAGCAAGGCAAAGTATGACAGAGGACTAACTTTTTTGTTTGTAAATCAGAGTTTTGATGGTGCATAAAGAACTAAACAAAACATACCCTGTATATTTCACTCGAAAGTAGGGACTGGGGGTAAGAGGTATGCAGACATTTCCTCTACCTCAAGAAGTAGAGAGGCTGTTTCCAAGGTACATACAGAACCTTACTATTTTATTTAACAGATAGAAAGTTTGATAAACTATTCCTAGCAGTAGCAAAAATACTTGAGACCGGTACACCAGTCACGAAATGCCACTCTGCTTGGCAAACTTGAAACAACGTTGTAGAAGTGTTGCATGTTGATGTTTCCCCAGGGGTTCAGCCTCTTCAGTTGTTTTGTTACTCCTTTGTGGGCATGGGTCTCAGGAAAGCTATTATGAACGAGGATTGTGTGACGTGCCTTGACAGCGGGTATGCAAACTTTAAAATAATAAATAAATTCAAAGGCCTAGGCACTTCACTGCTAAATTCAACACAAGGTGGTTCAAGGGATGGCAACATTAGGAATAGATATCATTATTTCCCTTCTATACAAACTGTAGAGGTTTAATGAAGGGCCTTGACTGCATGGTATGTTACTTGAGATATAATGTGGTATATTATTACAAAAACACATTTATCTCTCGAAATTTTTTGCTTGAGGCACAAAATATTTCTCAATTTATCAAAGCATACAGCATTACATCGCACCTTTAAGGAAAAAAGTGCAAGAGCTTCTACATACGAAAATTGTCCTCGGCTATTTGGCTACTCTTGTATCAGAAAAAGAATAACAAAAAGTGGTAACACAGACAATCAAAAGAGATTCAAATGATACCAGAAAAAGAATCACCAAAAGACTGCTGATTAAGTAAAAACTAAATGGTTCATGAATTGCTATTATGCAAAGGACAGAAAAGGCTCTAATGTGCTCTCTTATGAGGCCAGAGGGGGAGAGAAGAAGAGGGATGCATATGTGTGAAGAGTTTAACCACAAAAAGCCTAAGTAAAGTAATATGGTAAGGCAAGCAAAAATAACCAACGTGTGATGGTGAAAAAGATGACAAGTAGCCAGCACATCCATGAAGCAGCGGACGATACAGGGGAGAAGTTGATGTCACCACAATCTGCAAAGAATCCCAACACTATGACAAACGAAGTAAAATAAGAAATAAAAATTGACATATTTGAATCATTAAAGAAGAGGAAAACCTGAGACAGCGCATGTTGCACAAAGGGTTGTCTCCATGCAGAAAAACCATCATCAACCTGACCGGAACTGCTAAAATTAGGACGAAGTGCTGAAAGAAGTAAGAAAGTGAGAGAGAGTCATATTGCTGGTGAAAATTAAAAATGTCAAACTGATCACCTCTTTAAAGGAAATAAACAGACGTTCAAGGTAAAACATTAGGAGCTGATAGAAAGTAAACTATGCACACATGTTTATGTAAGAAATCTAAAATATCCTCCTCAAAGGGGATCGCCAATTATTTTGTAATCAAGGGAATGCTCTTAAGCGTTTAGCATTATAAGTGACCCCGAGACAAATATGATCTCCAGGAACGCATTCCTGTCAAAATCTTGACACTATTCTATAGGAAATAGTTTAGTTTAGAAAACATAATAATTTAACAAAATAAAGGGAAGTCTTGTAATCGACAAGTCTATCATATTTATATGTGGCAAAATGGGCAGGCAGATGGGATGGATACTGGGTCAAAACGGGTTTATGTTAAAAACGTGAAAGTGTTAGGACTTGTCAAAAGGAGTTGGGTTGATCTGCCAACACCTTTTTTGTCTTTTTCAAGGGCTAATATCATTATATAGCAACCAAGTTTCTGAAATTTTCCAGTTCGATAACTAAAGTTTTTTTGGTTACACACTTAGTCATTAAAATTTAAAAATAAGGCTCAATGTTGTGACTTTTGATGTAAAAGACCATAATACCCCTGTTTGGAAATTGTGATTCCCGCATAAAGTTTTAGTTATTTTTGCAAAGTTAAAAAGATACCCCCCCAACCGGCGACATAATCAACCCAGCAGCACCACCCACCATTTGTCTCTTGTAATTCGCAAAGAAATCAACACCACTCTTAGGTGCCGTAAAAACCTACCAATCTTCTACTTTTTGTGTAGATGTCATTTTGAGGTCGCCAAGAAAAAACCCACAGTAGTTTCTGGCAAACTAGCCGGATGGGGTGGGGAATGGATTTCATAGTGGTGATTAAGAAGATGACGGTTAAGACTGGTGATGTACAAGTTGACAGTACAAGTTTTGTTCCATTAAACTTTGAATTAGGATTAATTAACTTTTTAAGATTTGCAATATACCCCCTAAACTTTATAAGGGGTATCATGGTAATTTTTGTCAATTTTTCTCAAAATGAGACTTAATTTTACAACAACGAGTCTTACTTCTAAATTTAGTGAGTAAACATGTACGAGAACAAACTTTAATGACCAAAGATGGACATTTGTAAAACTTGGTTGCTAATGATATTAGACCTTTTTAGCTTCATACATAAATAGATATGATTAAAAAAACTATTAGGGGGCTGTAAATATGAGCAACATTTAACCCATTAGACCCGTTTCCTTTTTAGCCAAGTTTTTCCTTTTACCTGTTTGACCCTTTAGCAATATATAAACCAAATTGACCTATTTTCACATAAGTGGGTTAAAATGCCTCCTCTAATTAAATGAAAGCCTACATCAAATGCCATGCATTGAACAATAGAGAGGATAGAGCCACATTCTAGATCAAGAGTAGTACTACAAAAAGGAGCTATAGCTAGCAGACCTGGCAACAAAGCTTGTATGAGTGGCAATGTGGACCAGAACTCAGAACTGTTTCCAGCCAATTTGCTGCAAAGCATAGGCTGAAAGATAAATGAACTTATCAAGATGTAACGTGAGTGATGTCACAGGAATACTTGCATTGAAAAAGTTCTACAGTTTTGGAACATTTTCTAGAAAAAGTAACCCACCTGGGATGCACAAGCAAAAAGAACATGTAAAATTCCTTCTTCAATCGCCTTTATATCTAGGAGTTGAAGATATTTGAAGTTCCAATTATCATCAGTTACGCGAAACTCCTCCCCAAACAAGTTTGAATAATCTGTGGCTTGAAGAGCACCAAGTGACTCAGTACTTGGGACCTTATCATTAACTGTTGTGACATCAGATGAAGAGATAGACGCTTCTTGCGTTATGCTGGGATGTTCAAGCTTCAGTAGAACTCTAGAAGCCTGAAATAAAGCACCGGAACCAACAATTGAAGATGGAAGTTAAAGCAAGCAGAAACAAAACAAAAGAGATGTCAATCAGAGTATGTGTTCAACAGAATAATGTTTATATGAAATCTGTTGGCAATGGGTTTTTCTTCTCAAAAATATATTTCTCTACATTTGAAAACTCTTGTGGGAATTTTATCACTGTTACCACATATAAAATTTGAACAGAGGCCAGTTATTACCATTCTGCAAACGGTTCCCAGATGAGAATCCTTATAAGCCTTTCTTAGCAACAGAAGGATTGCATCTGGGCGGAAAACTGCAGAAGTGGAAGTGTTAGAGGAAGTGGCAATTGCGTTGCGTGATCTCCTTGGCTGAGGATGAAAAAGAAAACATGTACACTATTAGTGATCTGAAAGAGAGCACTCTCTACATCAAAATTGGGTAAACAAAATCTTCTCATACATAGAAGCATCACAATTAAACAAGCCCCAATGGAAGGCTGAAGATAGCAACAGTTGATGCTTGCATATACATGTATCGGCAAAGGAATGAAATGAGAGAAAAGAAGTAGAAGAAAACCCAATAAGAATAAGAAACACACTTCCAAGAACTACTGGAAATTATAAAAAAATTTAATATCAAAGCATAAAGGTAAATACAAAAATATCCACTATCTACTATAAGAAATTATAAAGATGGAAGCTCTTTTGAACTCCGCATATAAGGGATTGAAGTAACAAAATCATGCAACAGTCTTGCCATTAATAATTGCATGCAGTGAAAAAAATAGTAAAGAAGCTCGTATACTAATAGAAATAAAGATGACGATTGAAATAAAGCAGTCTCGTTGTACAAAATATAAATGAGGGCAAGTGAGAACAAGGTTGAGCTAAGCAAGTAAATTGGAGTAAATCTCCAACACAACAATACAAAGAAAAAGGTGGACTTTGTGTTTTGGGATTACAGAGGAGTTATTTCAGGTTACGACCTCAAAATTAGAGGAAACTGTTAAAGCTGGTGATGGAAGACTGTTCTTAGATGCTTCAATGTCCAAGGCATTGCCAGCTGATTTAGAAGTTTCCCTGTAATGTTACAAAGAAAATGGATTAAAATTATTACTATGGAAGTTGAAATTATTACATAGCCTTCATATGGACACAAAAATTAGCAGATGCCGACTCTGCTAGATGCAACTTGCTAAGGAGAAACAACTAACAGTAAAAGTGGATTAATATGATTAGTATAGAAGTGTAAACAAAGATATAGTCTTTCATCTGGGCAGTAGAAACATTAGACTGTCATTCTTGCAATGCACAACTTCCTTATGAGGAAAACCAAACGAATCTAAGTGCAACAAACTACTATACTTCTAAACATATTTCTGGAAGCCCTGTACTTTTATAGTATTCGCTACATGCTTATAGGCTTCTGTATATATGTTGAAACTAATAGGTAAGCTGTCCAATTTGAAAGAACATGCAATATAATTTTCTAACACAACTAAAAGAATGGGGAACACATGCATGTCAAGTGAATCTAACGAGTCATACAAATAAGTCTCATCTCACTTCTAAGGATCAGGTCCTAAGCAAAAGAAAGAAAGAAAGAAAGAAAGAGAGAGCATATGACTTTATCCCAAGGATCCAAGGTTTCCTTTCGGGGTGAATATGCAAAAACTTAACGACTTGGTTAGAGTTCAGACACAATAAAGAATAAAGACCTCTAACGTGTATGTTGTGACTTGAGTTTGATTTGATTTTATAAAGTCTATGCAGCAGAGAAGTAATGGAGTAGGGTGCAAAGTTACTGCATAATAATACACAGCATCATGCACTCACCTGAGCAGCTCCAACGATAATACCTCACTATTTAATTACTATACCCCACACACGGTTAACAGAATATGAATAACTGAAGGAGAAAAAAGTCCAAAGTAACATGAGGCACGACATAATTGGGAGAAAAATTTGATGGCTGAATTTGGCTTCACTATCAGATACTATTTTGTCTGCTCACTCTTAAAGCTCGAGGTATACAAAAATCAACATACAATAAACTAACACGTAAGCATTATCTCCAAAAATAAGAAGAAAAAACAGAGTAATTGCTTTATATGTTGATACAAACATATTGAATGGTAAGTTCAATAGGTAATAATTATGTGACAAAAAGCAGACCCCCAAAAGACTCGTGCACTCAAGATGAAAGTACCAGAAATCTGGATGCTGAAGTGGATGTGTCGCCATAGATGACGTCATAAACATGAAGGGATAAAGTTAGGATCACACCAGTTGACAAGAACTTAAGCCAAACTTCACTTAAGATCAGTGTTCTAAATATCATTGCCTAGGGCCATTTAAGCAGCTGCCAGGGTGTAAAGGTCCCCCCAGCTTTGATTAGTTAGGGACACTTGGAGGCCGTTTACTAAATACTTACCTTGGAAAGCGCTTACTGGTTCAATTACCTTACGAAATGAACATAACAAGGACTGAAAATCTTACCCAGTAAGAGGGAAGGCAAGGATCAAAAGTCTTACCAGTAAGCGCTTATCGGGTTATAAACGCTTACTATGATCCATTTTGATGGCAAGAAATGTTACCTCATCAGGTAAGTGAGAGTGGTGACTCTTGCCAATAAGCGCTTACCCGGTAAGCGTTTGGTAAACAGCCCCTTAATCCCCTTCCTAAGAAATAAGCATCCCCCACTTCTTCAATTAGCTACTAAGCATGGATTACTAGACTTTTCTCAACTTGACTTCATCAATCTACTTTTCTCAAGTTGGAGATGATCCTTCTAAACTTTCCTAGTAAATGTATCAATGAAACAACAAAACTAGTCATTTAGAAAAGTAAGTGTATCAATATAATACGGTCTAAAATTTAACCATCATATGCTTATATACTCTAAATATAATTACATTATATATATATTTTTGAATCCATGTTATAGAAATCACCAAATCAAATTAAGCAGCCTCTTCGGCATAGGTGGGTGTTCAACCGTCATGATCCAGGTTTAAGTGGTTGATTATACATCTAAAAGATTTCAGGGGTACTTGTGAGTGCTATTATTGATTAATTTCTCTTATTATTTATCAACTACTAGTTGATTATTTAGTTATCTACAAACTGACTTGTTGCTTTTTACTTGTAATAAGTTGTAATTTTTTATTATTTATAGTTAGCTATTAATATTAATTATCAACTTATTCTTATTTACTATTACAAGGGTGAGTTGTTGACTTGTAGGCATGTGACCATTGACATAATTTTTGGTAATTACTTTGCAATTACAACATAAAGAAAACCATGTCTCAATAAATTATTGTGATGAGCAACATGAACTTACGATTTTAAGATATACGTACTATTTTTGTTCTAATGGAATGTACATTGTTAAATATGCTTTTATTATAAATTGTGGAACAAAACTACAAAGCCTTTTTAATCGTAACTTAATTTTTTTCATGCACTAAAACTAAACCGCTTATTCACTAGTGGTTACTTCCAATCTGAAGCACCCTTCTCCATTCATAGAGAGATCCAATTGTCAAAACCAACGGGTCTCGCCTTCTTTCCTTGGGAATTCAATCACATTGGATCAGTGACTTAATGAGACAGTTAATCTCTGTTTAACTCATTAAGGCTAGGCACTCAGTCAACTGCCTTGTGCTTTTTAGAACATTATTTAAGACTGTTTTTACATTGGCAAAGTAGACCTTGATATGTACCAGCTGGAAGTAGAGGCATTTACCAAGAGTATGATCTTAAGATAGGTAGCCAAGGCATGGGATTAGTAGTGAAGGGAGCTTTGACATAACAGAATATATCCAAGAGTGAGCCCCCAATTATAGTTTGCAGAAAGATATTCCATGTGCAAAGCCTCAGGAGGGGTTCACCTATTCATAAGTTTTGTTGGGCCTCATTTTACTCCAATGAAACTTGAATAAAAGGTTTGTTGTTGCAAATTTTTAAGAGTTTATCTCTAAATTGGTTTAATGTCCAACATTGTCCCTCTTAAACAAAATAAAAGCAATCAATATGTGATATGGTAATTGTAAGGCGGAGAGAAAATTATTTCACTGTATTTCTCCTCAATCCTTTGTACTATATTTGTACACAATAAACCTTAATGAATGAATGCAAGACTAGGATCATATTCACATATTTAGCATGCTTCTACATATTTATATATCACCCCGTATACTCTACAGCGACGTTCATCGATCAACAAAGCGAAAGTATATGGTAGGTGATCTACAGTTCTAAACTTGATGCATCAACGAACTTTATCGTTTTAAAGTTACCTTCAAGATTTTCAGATCACTAATTTCAGAAAGGCAACAATTTGACCTAGGATCTCACATGCTTCCATGAGATCCACCTTCTAATTTTTACTTCTCCCCTTCTCTAAAACTCATGTCCTCACATCAGAAAAATTGAACCTTTTACTCTAACCATGGTCTTACAAATGCGTAAAGTTCCCTAGGATTGAAGATTTGAAGTATATTCAACCACTTATTGCCCATAAATAGCTTTGTCTTCAAATGTTGCTAGCTTCTCTGACTTAACCATCAGATTGGTGGTATCAGGTCCCAACCGATACATCATCAACAAATACTCAAGCTACAGACCTCAAAGATCATTGCCGCATCAACATGCAGATATTTCAAGAATCATGGAGCAATTAAATTCATGATGGAACTGTTGGGTATATTTCCCTCTAGTCAGACCACCTAAAAGGTATGTTGGAGTATCTGTGAATAAAAAATGGGAGACGGTTCTTTTTGGACCAACTACAACGTAATGTCGGACTTCAAGAATTACCAGTGGATTCTAATCATACCAAAATAAGCAGGATTCTCTATAAGAATAGAAAAGATCCATCCACCAGCTGTTCTTAGAACTGTCACTCACAAATATTGTTAGAACACAAGTGACATTATGGTAGCTAGTAAAATAAAAGTTAAGTGTGGAGTTATTACAAAAGGAAACGATTGTAAAGATGACAAGGCGACAACTTAATAGGCTGCCATTAGGATTGCATATCAGTAGCCAACGTGAACCTCCAGTGAAGACAAAGCATGCATGAAAATCAACTAGCAATAGCTACTAACCTCTCATTTAGTATGTGAAGAATTGGGTAAAAGGGTCCAGCAAGCATTGTAAGAAAGCGAAGAGTAGGTTCCGGAGCATCTGGAAAGCTGTTAAGATCTGCCTGCACAATAACAAGTTCATTAACTCATCAAGTATGAAGACAACAAACCACAAAGTTGAAGAAAATTCAAAAAATTAGCAGTGAGAGGTATACCTCAAGTTGGGGAAGAAATGTCACCAACCGGTTCGTCAATTCTTGAAGCAACTAGAAACTAATGGAGTTAGATTAAAAAAAACTGCATGCATAAACAAGCACACAAACACTTGCACACAAATATCCTTACATAATAGAGAAATAAAGGTTATCAAAATATACATATATATACATGCATACATATCAAGATATATATCTATGTATGCACATGTTTGTGTGCACATGTGTGCATGCATGTGTGTATCCAAATCTGTATATGTATATGATGTTCCACCTGAAGATGAATGTCCTCGGCATCTTGTTTGTGAGAAATTATGTGTGGTAATAGGTGACTAATAACTGGTTGAAATTCTGGTTCAAGACCGGTAACCGGAACACCAATCAACTGCAAGGCGGGAAGACATTCAACAAAAGTATAGCAATATTAATTGACGAATAAAAATCATGAATATAGCATAATCAGAAACAGCAGAAGTAACAAAAAGGTATGATCATCATTAGATGACATATTTCAGGTAAAACAAAAAAAATAAAGAAGCATATAATACAAGGAACAAATAATAGACTAAGCACAAAAGCCTCTCCCATCCCTTTGCAAAGGTCTGAAATGTGTCATTCCCGTCCCATTTACAAAACATAAACATCAGTTCCATCTCACTGAGAGGATTATTAGTGCACAATGAACATGAGTTCCATCTCACTAATGAGAGGATCAATTAGTGCACAATGAAGTATTAGGTTCAACACATGATGTAGCAGTTGCACTGGGAGCAAATACTGGACCATGAAGATTGAATAGGGCATTTAAATTTTAAAACTGCCACTCGTTTGAGGTAGCTCACACTATTGATTCATCACAATGTCCACACTGGTTTATGCAAAGATGTTCTCACATCAAATTTTTCAATAAACAGGGTATCCTTCACATTGTAACTACTTATAAGATAAACTTGGAAATTTTGTGTATTGTATATGTAAATCACGATTACAATCAGGGATATATATATAAGAGATATATTTCCACTCTAGACCCTCTAATATAATTTATATATATATATATATATATATCACACTTAATTGTCTAATATTCCCCGGCAAGCTAAGGCCATGGAGCGACCTGTACCTTGGACCGAAATAGGAGAAACCGTTGTGAAGGTAGCGGCTTGGTGAACACGTTTGCAATCTGATCATCTGTGGATATAAACCGAACTGAAAGTTTCCGTTGCGCAACCATTTCTCGAACAAAGTGAAAGTCAACTTATACATGCATGGTATGGGCATGAAAGACAGGATTAGCTGAAAGATACGTAGCACCAAGATTATCACAACATAAGGTAGGAACCGACTTTACAGGAACCCGGAGTTCGCGCAGCAGTATTTGGAGCCATGTGAGCTCAGCAACAGTATCGGCTAGGGCCTTGTATTCAGACTCTGTTGACAACCGAGAGACAGTCCTTTGTTTTCGTGCAGACCATGATACTAGGTTTGAACCAAGATAGATAGCATATCCCCAGTGGATCGACGGTCGTCGGGGCAACCAGCCCAGTCAGCATCGGAGAAGCCAGTCAGGGAGTTGTAAGCAGAATCAGTGTATGCATGAAGGATTGTGCCTGAATCATGCATGATTCGTAAACCATAGTCAGCAGTGCCCTACAAGTAACAGAAGAATTCGTTTGACTGTCGTCCAATGATTTTCAGTGGGGGAGTGCATAAATTGGCAGACTTTGTTGACCGCAAAAGTAATATCCGGACGAGACAATATCACATACTGAAGGGCACCCACAATTTGGCGGTACTTGACCGAATCAGCAAACGTAGCATTATCACCAAGAGCAAGATTAGCATTAGTGGTCATAAGAGATGAAGTCGGTTTAGCATTAGACAGGCCTGTGCATTGCAAGAGTTCAAGGATGTATTCCCGTTGTGATAGAATCATATCATGACCCTGACTGGTTACTTCAATACCAAGAAAATAAGACAAGCGACCCATATCCTGAACAGCAAAGGATTGGCTAGGACGTTGTACCACTTTGTCAATAGCCTCCGGGTTGTTTCCTGCCAAAAGAATGTCATCAACATAGAAAGTCCTAAAAGCCAAGAGAATGAAGGACCATAGAAAGTCGATGAAACCACGCTCTAGGGCCTGCTTTAATCCATATAAGGATTTGTGAAGTAGGCAAACATGATCGGGTTTGTCCGGGTCAACGAACCCTGGTGGTTGTTGCAAATAAACTGTCTCGTTGAGATAACCATGTAGGAAGACATTTTGCACATCGAGTTGCCTTAGGGACCATTTTTGTGTTGCGGCCAGAGATTAAACAACACGTATGGTGGTCGATTTGACCACGGGACTGAATGTCTCATGATAATCAAAGCTTGGTTGCTGTCGAAACCCTTTGGCTACTAGTCGTGCCTTGTAGCATTTTATTGCCCTTCTTTGGTCCCTTTTTAATTTGTATACCCACTTGCAATCAACTATGTTGGAATTTGGAACATGTGGTACTAATGTCCAAGTACCATTCCGCATCAGCGCCGAATACTCATCAGCCATGGCAGTACGATGGTCAGTTCAGTGTCAAGGGAAGGATGATGGGTATGGTATGAGGAGGCATTGTAAGGTTTGGTTTGTTTGGGATTGGGGCGTAAGTTGGGTGGTCGAGTACGGGTGGGTTGTTCGGTGGTTGGGGGGGAGGGGGGGTAGGGGTAGGCGAGGCGGTGGTTCAGCGACTTTGGAACAGCGGTGATGGGTGTGAATAAGGGGTGGTTGGGCCGTAGGGTGGTCATTAGGAGGGGTGGTGGTAGGTGTTGTTTCTTGTGGGACAGATTACACAGTAGGTGCTGTTAAGGGTGTCGGTTCTGGTGGGAGGTCAGATTTGGGATAGGTGGAGATGTAAGGATTTGAGTGGTTGGAGTAGGAGTGGTTGTAGGAGATTTTTGGAAAGGAAAGGATTATTCATTAAATCGAACATGACGGGCCACATAAAAAAGATCAGATTGTGGGTCGTAACACCGATAGCCATGATGAGCGGTGTTGTAACCAAGGAACACACAAGGTGTAGAGCGGGAGTCCATTTTGTGTTTGTTGTATGGACAGAGATGAGGGTAGCATTGGCATCCAAAACCCCGAAGAAAGGAAAATTCGGGTTTGTGCTTGAACACATGTTCAAAGGGTGAGGTATTTGAGTTGGTTCTGGATGGCATTCGATTAATAAGATAGACTGCAGTGTCAAAAGCAAAATGCCAAAACCRTTGTGGAACATGGGATTGAGCAAGTAAAGTAAGACCGGTTTCAACATGTCGATGTCGTCGTTCAACAAAGCTATGACCATCAAAAGAAGGAACAGGAGCAAAGCCCCATACATCACAGAAAACTAAATCCAAAATGTGCGAACTTTTATAAGTAGATGGTAACAAATGAAGTTTAGATGATTTGCCAACAGAACATGAATCACAAGAAGTACTAGCACACTTATTTTGTAAAGGTAAATGATATTTAGACAACATGGACTTCAATAGCTGTGGATGTGGATGTGCAAGTCTTTGGTGCCATGTGGTGAAAGAGGCACGTGCGGTAGAAAACGACATTTTCTGAACAGGTTGTGGCTGAAGAGGACGAAGGAGTAGAGACCACCATTACTTGAACCCGTGAACAAGATAGTGTGTGTGAACTTGTCCTTCACAGCAAAGAAAGTAGAGTGAAATTCAAAGTACACATGGTTGTCAAAACAAAATTTTTGAACAGAAAGTAAGTTTTGTTTTATGTCAAGCATGTGTAGTATGTCTTTAAGGGAAAAGGTTCTGTTTGGTGAATAAAGTTGTGAGGAACCAATGTGTAGAATGGGTAAACCCTTACCATTGGCAACGTGAAGGTTGTCCTCACCGTAGTAGGCCTCAGAGTTATCGAAGCTAGATAGGTCCAGTGCAACATGATGGCTAGAGCCAGTATCCGGAAGCCAAGCTTGTGACCGGTAATCTGTAAAGTTGGCAGAAGGTGGTTGTCTCGTCCTCATAGGAGCAGGGTCGCGATTGGGGCAATGAGACGGGATATGGCTAATCCCACACCTGTTGCATGCGCCAAAAACAGTGTTTTGATTAGAAGCCCAACTAAATTGATGACGGTTACCTCCTCCTTGACTTCTGTTGTTGTAGTTTCCTCGTCCGCGTCTAGAATCACGTCCACGGCCACGGTTATTCCCAGATCTGTTGGTGTAAAAGGCTTGTGCAGGCTGTGCATTAACATGCTGAACTTGAAGACCAAGTTGTGACAGAAGCTACTAAATGGCTTGAAGTTGATTCGGTTGAGGAGTAGACGAGGTGGCACCAGGAACCGCTAAGTTGCGGTTGTTCGTGACAGTCGTGAATGCTTGAGGTGGAGAGATGTCAGTTGTAGATTTCTTGATCATGTAGTCATGGTCTCATAGCAGGCCATGAAGTTCTACAAAGGCAGTTGGGAATTTGCAACCAAGGAGTGTTGACTTAAGCCCGTTGTATTTTTCTCTAAGACCCGAGATAACCAGCATCACCAAATCTTTTTCTTTCATTGGTTCACCTATATTGGCGAAAGCATCAGCATATTCTTGAGCCCTGGTCAGGTATGCGGAGGAGGTTTCAGCAGGCTTCATCTCTAGTTTAAGAAGCTGAGTTTTTAGGGTGTATTCCCTAGATGATGTGTGAGGAGCGTAAGCACGTTCAAGAGACAGCCAAAGATCATGGGAGGTAAGTCCTTGAACGTGTTGGAATGACGCCTCAGAGATTGTAAAAGTAATAAGCATTTGTACGTGTGCATCATTGGAAACCCATGTTGTGTAGTTAGGATTCATCGTCGGCATCTTTTCCTGATGATGACGATGAGATAGTCATCGGTGGACAGGGAATGGTGCCATCAGCATAGCCGAACAGGTTGTTTGTAACAAGGAACGGTTGAACCATTGCCTTCCAATAGCTATAGTTGTTTGGTGATAAAGTGAAACCAAACTTGTGGGAGTTATGGGTGGTTTTCTCGGTTGGAGTGAAAGCTGCAACAGTTGTCATTGGACAGAAGGTGTGGCAGCCGTCGGGTAGAAGACGGGTGCGGTAGTTTTAGGGTTGCCTTGTGATGGCAGAGGGTGGTCGGCAGAGGGTGGTCGGCAGAAGGTGCGGCAGCCGTAGGGTAGAAGACGGGTGCGATAGCTTTAGGGTTGCCTTATGATGGCAGAGGGTGGTCGGCAACTGTAGGGTGTCTAGGGCCGACTCTAATACCAAGATAAACTTGGTAATTTTGTGTATTGTATATGTAAATCACGATTACAATCAGGGATATATATAAGAGATACATTTACACTCTAAACCCTCTAATATAATTATATATATATATATATCACACTTAGGGGGTGTTTGGGATTGCTTATCTGAAACAACTTATGTTTTTCTACAAAAGCACTTATCAACTTATTATAAGTCAGAAGGGTTTAACTTCTTCAAAAACTCCTTATTACCAGTTTGGCACCGGTATAAGTTGTTTATCCAAACACTCAAAAATGCTTATTACCGGTGCCACACCAGAATAAGTCAATAACTTGTTTTTATAAGCAATCCCAACCCCCTTGATTGTCTAATATTATATATATCTATGCAATCCTATAAAGATTCATGATTGTGCTGCAAGAAGTTCTAAGTTTGGATAGTGTTTTTGTTGGATGATCTTACACACTACTGTAAAGATTCATAAATTGTGTTGCAAGCTCCAAAAACAACATAAACCTTAATGAAGAAAATATGTCAAAAACAACATATTACCTTAATGAAGAAAAATATGTGCCAAAAACAGTATATTACCTGAATGAAGAAAACAGCTATGGGATTCCCCCGCAAACAAGATATTCTCACATATCGACATGCAGTATAGTTCATTGGGTACATCATGTCACGGCGAGGTGCTTCACACCGCGGGCGGACTTTTATAAAGGTCTCTGGCTGTAAAAGAAAAAAAGGTCAAAGAGGCAAAGAGGACATTAAGCTTAGATGAACAGAATCATATATTCCTACGTAATTTTCATTTGCTAATCCAAACCCACTTCAAAAATTCCAATTTTAGAAAAAGAGGCAGTAGTGTACGTTTCAAGCAACTTGTGCGGCTGTGCCATGCATGTAGTATATTTTTCAAACTAACTACACATGTTACAGGATTTGCATAAAGTTCCTCTACTAAATTTTATATTTAATAACCAAATTTGACTGTTACAGATCTCTACCATTTTTGCTATAGAAATATCTGAAAATTTTATGATATCCTTCTCTACTGAATTTATGTGTTACTACTCTCTATAATTAATATTCGGCTTCTAAATATCAAATGACTTGCTCATTAACATTAAAATTATTGGTTAAAGTAGGTGTTTAACAGATTTTTACAAACGCCTGATTTTTATGAAAGTGAACTTGCTTTAGTGTTTTATGTTTGATGGCAAAATACACTTCAGGTGTATGCTTGAGAGTATTTTGTAGTTTCTGAACCATAGTTAGATGTACTTCTAAGTAGTGGTTGTCATGTCGCTATGGCATCCTACAGTTTGCTATTGTTGTAACTCGTCATGGCACCATTACAAGTGTGCCAACTTCAGCCTTCATGTTAATGCAACACTAACCTCGTGTACATGTTAACTTTAGTGCCACCCATTCAGCACCATACAGCACAGCAATTCCAACATTGTCTATAGAACTTAATTATCCTAAGATCCAAAATTTGACATGTCAACCACAAGGGTGGTGCCCGATTGGTTGAGCTTGGGCTCGAAAGGTCAAAAATGCCGGGAGGTCCCAGGTTTTCGAATCCACGGAGGAATAAAAATCCCCTTGTGGCCATGGAGGTTCAAATGCGGTGACTCCGGGCTACCCGCGAAGCGGGAGGTCGCCCGGGGAGTAGTCGGCTCGCATAGCGGGTTGGATATCCAGGTTAATCAAAAAAAAAATTTGACATGTCACTTAAGTTTCATGCTCCATTTATATGTACAATGGGCTAAACCATAAATTGTTAGAATTGGTTGTTTCTTAACACAGTGCATCAAATTTATTTAGACTTCACTACTACATTCACTAAACATTTATATATTTATCTACAATAGAGATTGAGAGCTCTCAAAATGAATTTTGTAACTTGTGTCATGATGACATTGAATCATAAAGGGAACAACAAGGAAGGAGTAATGTTGCTAAAACAAAAACAGTAGCTAACATTAATCTTAGATACCTATAACACTGTCGCAGTGACTTTAAGGTCCTTGGGCAAAGAAACAAACTGAAACAATCTTTTGACACTATTTTCCAAATTGTAAGAATAAATAATTTTGAAGCTCCAAATACCAAAAAGTAATATTACTTCCCTAATTGCAAACAAATTCCAAATCTCAGACTATCAGACCCCAAAATGCAATTAGCAATAAGAACAAAATTGGCATCATTATATGGATAGTGGTGACAACACAAAAATGAACATATATCGCATGATAAATTACACAATAAACCCGGAAAAAAATGTAATGAGTCATCATCACATACTACTCATGATATATGAAGCATGTACATATTTTATTTCTCTTTGTCTTGGTCTCTTTTAATTTCTAAACTTCATATAGATGTTTATCATCACTAAATGGGGATGGGGCCATGGGGGATTATCCTTACTATGGTTATTGTAGTGTGATCACAAAGAAAATAATGACAACTCAACAAAAGATCGTCATTCAGCAAAGAAACACAAATCATGCTTCCAAGTAAAAACTAATTATTCATGTCATCATGTGAACAAACTTCAACAAGCTCATTTACAGTAGCGATATTGAAAATTCTTACCTTATATCGCAAGCCAACTGAAATTTCCCATTCCAACACGGATTTATTGTATATCCTTATGTGTGATAGGAGGCAAGGTTCCTACATTTAAAAACATGACTTGATATGTTAAGGTTATAACATACCATATTTTTATAAAAAGACCTTAGAAGAAGACGACAATAAAATCAAAAAAAGAAGTTCCTTCATGCTAAAAAGGAGTTTAATGCTCCACAAAGAAGGTAGAACAAACAAGCCTCTAAATTTCAGGTTACTTAGAAGATTCCAGGCGGAAAAAATTATCACAGCTTTCGGTTACCTACCAAAGAAAAATATCAATAAATAAAAAAGGCAACTAAAAATCTATGACAAAGTAGCAATCAGCATGTATACGGCAAGCTATCTTTCAAGTTTCATCAACACCTAAATGACAAATGAATGTAGAATGAAAAACAAGTATAGATATCTAAATTATGCTAAACATGAGAAAGCATACAAGTTGTGTTACCTGTAAATCAAGGAAACTCATGTCCAAAATGCAACAAGATGTGATTATGTTCATTCTAGAAGTAGAAGTAGCAAGGCAAGGATTGATCTTCACAGAGCTATGGCAAGATAAATCAAAGAAAATGCAAAGATGATTCAAATTCAGTTATTCTTCTAACTCAGCCTCGCATCTATGATCACACCAACATCCCTTGAAAAATGGTCCACCTCAAAGAATACACCATATGTTCAAAATCCTTCCTACCTAGTATACTCTCACCATAGTGTGCAAGTGTCAAATGTCACCCTTATCAGCACCTTCAGCTGGGAACCAGTATGGTTGTTAGTCCATACAGATCATGAATCCTTTCTAAGCAGTACGCATTACCACATCACACCAAGTCACAACTCACAATCGTAGAGGTGTGACCACAAGCAGATTTACTTAACCATTTCCATACCTTACCCAAATAGATGAACAAGAAAAACATTCCAACCAGAGTTTCTTTTTGAAGCTGAACTAGCTGCTCTAGCAATAATCTTCTTTAGCATGCATGAAGCCTTGGGCAATATTTCTTATTTGAGTTGAAATTGATCGTAACCTACTTGTCTTCTTGCTGTTCCTTTGTTTGAGGTGACAACATTGTGTGCCTTCAGTGGCCCTCCTTACCATGGTTTTCAAAATCTTTTGAGGCGTAAGCCTCAAGGAGTGGTCCAAAACCGCTCATGAGGCGGCGCCTCATGGTCCCTGGGTGAGGCTTAAGCCTCAACGGGTGAGGCGGTGCCTTGAGGCGTGAGGCGTTTCTGAGGTGCACGCCTCTCCAAACAACATTTTTTCTTCTCCATTTCTTAATTTTTCCTCTCTCAAGAAGGTATTCATCTCAAAGGCCCCAAAAAGTAAGTTCTTTTTAGTTTGCGCCCATATTTTTAGTTTATGTATAATGTATTATATTATATTATATATATTTCAGTCAAGTATATATGTTCTATATCATGTATAATGTATTTTCTATATGAATAATGTGTTATGTATATTTTTTTGTATATTTTCTGTTTTTCTGTATTATTTTTATTTTCTGTTTTCTGCTTTCTATATTATTTTCGGTTTTCTGTATTATTTTTCTGTTTTCCGTGGAATTGGAAGATGAAAGTGATAGTGATTATGGATACGATTGTGGAGCTATACAACTTGATCATGCTACGGGGAACTATAAGTTGTAGATTGATATGTTTTTAGACATATAACTAGTATTTTATGAATCTATGACGTTTAAAGTTTGGTAGGGAATTATGTTTTACTTACTATTAATATTTATGAATCTTATTTGTTTTACGCCTCGAGGCTTGCGCCTCAGGGCGTGGAAGGAAAACGCCTCGAGTCCCGATTCCGGTTTTTAAAACCTTGCTCCTTACTAGGATTATGTAAACATCGGCATTCCATTTTGAATGACCTCACATCATCAGTAACCTCCATGAGTTGTCTATATAAATGTCTCTTCACAATATCAAGTATCATATGAACTTTATGCAAATAATGCATGACTTCTTTGTGATTCCAGACTCAGCAATCTAACCACTTATGATTCAAACTTGTCATAATCAGAACCTACTAATTTGTAACCTGTATCCCCAAGACCGTTCCGTTCTTAATGGTTCATATTCATGCTATTTAATGAAACTGGCGCACTTCCTCACTAACATCAATTCATAACGCTACAACCACCGGATAGCTTCTTTGGACAGTCCCTTCATGCCAATGATCTCAGCTAATTCCAAAGCTAGAATGTTGTCTCATTATGAATAGAAGACCTGACCGAAGCTTCTGATCCAAGTTAATACTTATATTTCCCTTTCTAATCAGTTGGTTCTGAAGCAAAAGGGGATACCATATTGGAAACAGCAGCAAATTTTGTATTTATTTTTACTACAACCTATGGAAACAGAGAGAGTCTTTCCTTTCTGTTTGTTCCAAAAATAGATTGGCAAGTCCCCCTTTGGGACTATAACTTGCCACCCCAATTAACCTTGAATTAGACCAAGATAGCACATCTAATAACAAGTCATATCAAGAATCTAGTTGGGGAACAACAAGATATCTACGTAAAAATCACCTAATTTCACAAGCTTAAATCCCTGTGCCCTAAACCCATGCAAATATGCTAGTATAATAGTACCCCTAACATTAAGTAGCGAACAACAAAACAAACAGAATCAATATACAAAACCTTATAAGAAACTCAATCAACTAGTTCTAACCGAAAACAAATACAATAAAATAAAAAACCAAGGCAAAGAGACAGTACATCGAGTTCGAGCAAAATCCATTCTTTGGTGTTTGTAGCTGTGGACCAGTGATTTCGAAGATCAATGTCAAGAACATGTGAAGCCTTCTGCGACGGTGACTCTCTCGAAATCCCCTTTACTTTGTAAGTTAGGGGTTTCACCCGTGGCTCTAATTCCATTTCATTCATCTCCAAATCAATGCTCTCTGAGAATCTCCCTTCTCGCTCTACAATCCACTGGGGTTTTTGAGGTTTGCCGGAGGGAGGAAAGAAAGAAAGGTTTACTGTGGTTTGTTCGTCGTCAAACTACCGCTTCTTTATGATGTTCCGATGACTTCATTACAAAAAGAGTATTCAATCTTTCCTCCAAAGTTTGTTAAATTTCTTTTTCCTTTTAAAGTAAAATACCATTATATCTCCCAATTAAAAACCAAATTAATTTACTTGTATCAGATAAATATGACAAAGACTAAGAATCTTATTCGGTAAGAACGAAGGCAAGAATCAAGAATTTTACCCAGTAAGTGAGGATGACGACTCTTACCATGGTTAGCGCTTACCGAAAATAAATTGTTGCATACAATGCGTTTTAGTGAATAAAATCTTACCCGATAAGTAAGCGATAGTGTTGAATTTTACCGATAAGTACTTACCGGGTAAGTGTTGAGGTAAACGGCCCCTAAACCATAATATATCTTACTATAAAGCTGGTAATTGATAAGTTAACTGATGAATAAAATATATTTGATAAAAATAACTATACATTTGAAATAATAAAAATGACATCTAAAAAAAGGGAAAAGTCCAAAAAACCCAATGGACTTTACTGTTTGGAACGATTAAGTTCTTGGACAATTTTTTGGAACAAATAAATCATTGGACATTCTAAACCTTGTTAAGCAAGTCATTAGACTTTACAAAACATGTTAAATAAGTCCAAATTGTAACCTGTAACCCGAATAGAAGGTAACTTAGATTAAAAAAAACTAAAAAAATCCTAAAAGACTACTCATCTCCCTCTCGTCCACCGCTCCCTCCCCTCCCGTCTCCTTCTCCCTCTCGTACCAGCCGTCTCCCTCGCCCAATCGCCGCCACACCACCTCCGCTCGTCGCCGCCGTACCAGTTCGTCGCTGCCGTACCAGTTCGTCGCCGCCCCTGTCGCTCACTAATCAGGTTTGCTCCAAATTTTCTTTTTTATCCGTCTCCCTAGCTGAATTGATGAAGGGAGACTGTCCAAATATGTCGATCTCAGACCTAAGTCCCTCAAATTGCATAGGTTACCAAGGTTTTCAGGCAAGATTGGTTTATATACGCCCTCTAGGTCTAGCACCCGTAATAGTCTGATACCATCATTGATGATATTTCCCAAAAAAAACTTCCAATTCTCTTTGCCTGCCTATAATCTGTTTTCTGATGGTTAAATGACATGTAAGACCGCAAGTGAAAGGGATTAAATGGAGAACTCTTAAGTTGTTTTTTTGGACATTTCAATTCCAAACTGGTTTCTTGTTTCACTTTTTGGACTTTCATACTCAACCATCCTATGGACATTTAAAGAACCTACTTCTTCATACCTAATCAAATCACGATATGTGTAAAAAAGATTGGTTTCTTGGGCTTTAGGCAACAAATAATCATGTAGAACTCCAAGGACATGACATCTTCTTGGACTATTGTCGGACCTCAACTTTGATATTTGAATCATGTTTCTGCTAACTAATTCGTCAAAATATGTTTGTGCAATATCTTCTGGAAATACGTCGGTTGAATTCTGTTTCACAAACCCTTCAGCAAGCCACAACCGCAGTAACCTTCTTACCGGGATGTCAAATTCTTTAGGAAAAAGCACTGAATAAAGCAGACATACCTTCAAGTGGTCAGTCAAGTCGTTATAGCAAAGAAACAATATGTTGATAGAGTTTTTCATGCAAGAAAAGACTTGAGACCAGCTATTTGGATCCTTCATGGAGAATAGATCTTTTGCTATATCATATTTACATGTATGTATACGCACACACACACATACATCTATATATAGTATATACAGGCACTCATAAATACATCATTCTCCACTAATTTCTCTCGTCCTAAATTTTTATATTTTCATCAGTGAATCGTGATGAAATTGTTATTTTTGTTTACAGAATGATATCTGATTGTGATTGTGATTATAGTGATGATCCTAGCTATGAAATAGACGATAATTCAAGTGAACATATGTCAGATTCTTTATCTCTAGACCTTGAAGATGAGGATGATATAATCAACTTAAATGAAGACCGTGATGAAGATGATACTACTGTTGGTGATGATGTTGTTAGACATCAAGAAGAGTTACAAGAAAGTCAAATGGCTGTATCTCCACCAGATTTTAATGGTGCAAATGAAGAATAGTTCATACCATGACCTTGACATAGATACAACTTTTGTATATTTTGCAAATAGTAATGAGAATGGTATATTTGTTTTTTTTTTTTTTTTGATAAATGTAAGTACTTTTTTCGTTCAAAAAATATTTATTAACTTGATCGTTCAAAATATGAAAATCCATTGGTTTTTCGGAATTTTCCACTAATAAAATGTATTTAACATATTTCCCAACATATTTTAGAAAGTCCAAGGACTTGTTTAACAGGTTGTAGAATGTCCAAGGATTTATTTGTTCCAAAAAATTGTTCAAGGACTTAATCGTTCCAAACAGCAAAGTCCATTGGGTTTTTTTGGACTTTTCCCCTAAAAAAATTAATCAATTATAAATATTTTTTAATATAATATGTTAATTAATAC